CTTATAGGGAGACAACACAATGGCACTTTTCATTTATGCCAAATAATATTTAAATTATTTTTGACTCACTGGTTGTTTGCAAGTGTGTTAATTTACACATATTTGTGAGTTTTCCAAATTTCCTTCTGTCATTGATTTGTAATTTTATCCCATTGTGGTTGGAGAAGATACTTTGTATGATTTAAATCTTTTATTATTATTATTTTTTAAATATATCTTTATTGATTTCAGAGAGGGGAAAGGAGAGGGAGAGAGAGAGAGAGAAACATCAGTGATGAGAGAATCATTGATCGGCTGCCTCCTGCACGCCCCATGACTGCGGATCAAGCCCGCAACCCGGGCATGTGCCCTGACCAGGAATCAAACCCTGATCGCCTGGATCCTAGGTCGATGCTCAACCACTGAGCCATGCCCAGCCAGGCGATTTAAACCTCTTAAAATTAATTGAGACTGATATTGTGATCTAACATCTGGTCTGCCCTAGAGAATGTTTCATGTGTATTCTGTGTATTCTATAGATGTCTGTTAGGTAGGTCCAGTTGGTTTATACTGTTGTCAAGTCTTCTATTTCCTTGCTAATTGTCTGACTAATTTTTTAGTCATTATTGAAAGTGGGGTGTTCAAATTTCCAACTATTACTATACAAATAGTTTATTTCTCCCTTTAATTCAGTTAAGTCTTTGCTTTATTTGGTGGGGGGGAGGTTGTTGTTACGTGCATATATGTTTATAACTTATATTTTCTTGGTGGATATATAATGACAAAGTGAAGGACATAGATTTTTTAATTATTGCTTTAATAGTTGTCTTTTAAATCATATAGAAAAAAATGAAGTTACTAAACAAAAATACATGGATATTGACTTTTATATTTATATAGTTATCTTTACCAGTGTTCTTTATTTCTTCATATGGATTTGAGTTACTGTCTAGTATTTTTTCCTTTTAACCTGAAGGACTGCCTCCCTAGAGCATTACTTGTAGAGCAAGTCTATTAGCCATGTGCTCTCAATTTTTGTTTAATTGAAATATCTTAATTTCTCTCTCAATTTTGAGGGATAGTTGTGTTGGATGTCGAGTAAGTCCAATGTCTGGGCTTCCTCAGGGATAATTTGTATTCATTTCTTTTTCCTCATGTGTGAACCATATTTTCTTGTTTCTTTGCATGCTTCCTAATTTTTAAAAAATTCTGGACATTTTGAATATATAATGTCGTCATCAGATTCTTCCACCTCACCAGGGTTTTTTTGTTTCTTTGGTTGGCAGTGTTTGTTTACTGACTTTTCTAAACTAAATTTGTCAAGTACATATTCTTTGCCATATATGGCCACTGATGTCATTAGTGGCCACTGATGTCTCCATTTAATTAGCTTAGTAGCCAGCTAATGAGTTAGCAGAGATTTCCTTAAAGATTTGAAAAAAGAAAAATCCACAGTCTTTGCTAGGAGGTTCTGGTATATGTTGGTACATGCCTTCAACACCCAGCTAGGCAGTTTACAACTCTCCCTTTGCCTTCATTTTCTGCTTGAGCACAGCCTAAAGATCAGTCAGCAGTGAGAATTTAGTGTTTTCTCAGAAGGCCCTAAATATTCTTTCTGAATATGTACTTCACCTTGGTTTTGCACATGGTCTAACTATTTCCAAGGAATATGTGGGAACTTTTCAAAGCCAATATTTCCAAAGCATCTTACTCCCCAATCTTTTTTCCCCAAGCTTTTTGATGTGTGTATGGTATGTCCCAATTGCTATTCCTTGCCCTGTTTGGCACCAGCTAACAAATTTGCCCTTAAATGTTTTGTCCTGGCTGGTTGCCTCTTTGCCCTGGAAGAGTTCTGTGTTTGATAAAATAAAGGTAGTTCTTTACATAATTTGTCAAGGAGCCAATGACAGACCAAACAAACAAACACAAGTTTTTGAGAACAAGTCTGCTTTGATTCCTCTAGCACTAGGAATCCACACCTAGAATTCAGATTGGCGTCTTTAAGACCCTAACTGATAATCAACTACCTTTTTCTTGGTTAAGTGCTTGCTCCATTGTTGTAAACCTTTGACTAGTTTGCAGAGATTCAGATAAGGTAACTTTGTACCGTTGTTGTTGTTGTTTGCTAGATTATTTATTGTTTCTATGCAGGGACAGGCCCTTGGAGTTTCCTACTCTTCCATTTTTGCTGTTGTCCCATTGAATTGTTACAATTTTGACAAACATTCCTGTCATAGTTTTTTTGGTAAAAAAAAAGAATGTCTATATGTCTCTTCTTTACAGAGGTTATCAAGTGTTAAGATAATTCATGTCCAACTTGCCAAAGAACGTTATCCAGTTTAGAAGGAAAAGAATTGCGGTAATTGAACCCAGTAGATTTTTTGATGTATACTGTGTTAAAGATGGCCAATTCACCCATAACCCTTTCAAAATTATTTTCTGCAAGCCAGAGAGGTAAAAGATCTAATCCACCAAGTATAGGAGATGTATGTTCTAACATTCAGGTCTCTAGTAGAAATGTGATATAAAATGCATTAGAAAATCTAACACATATCAGGGTCTTTACCTTTAAAATGCAGTTGACCGTATTCACATTGTAGTTATGTGGATGTTTTCCGTATAGTTTATCAGATCAAGAAGAATGCAGCAGTTGTTTTCACTGCCTTCCCAAAGCTGTAGCCCCTTGTAAAGTGACGCAGCCCAAACCTACTATCTGAATCTAACGAGCCAACGTAGAGAGCTCTGAATATGACGCAACATTTTCCAGGTTTGAATTCTATTTTTGTCTGCTTACCAGCAGTGTGAACTTAAGTAAATTACTTAACCTCTCTCTGCCTCACTTACCTCATCAGTAAAATGGGCCTGATAACAACTATACTTATGTCATAGCTTTGTTAAAAGGATAAAATAAGTTAAGATTCACTAAGTAATTAACTAAAATTAAATACGTACTTAAGCTTGTTTGAGGTACAGCTTGTCTAGAGCATGTCTTTGTAAGGAAGCCTCTGAGGTTTTCAGTTCTGTCTACTTAGAATGGAGCTTATTAGTGAAATAACCCCACTGAGCAGATTCTTAAGAGGAAAGTAGGCAGGCAATATCTGTGTGTCTTGTTCCTTAGTCTGAGAGGCTTGTTCCTTAGTCTGGAGAAGACTTGTCTACAGCTGGATGCAAAACAAAAGATCACTACACGGTAGAACAGTCTCCTAATGTAATAATCTGGGCGACCAGAAAGATGGGCCAAGGATGGGAGATAAAGCTAAAAAGATTGGAAAATACTGATGATGAAGGCACTTGGGAGTTATTAAAGGATTTGAAATAGGAGAGTCGTCTGATCACATTTACATTTAGGGTACATACTGTGGCAAAATAAGTTGGAGAATTGGGTTCAGCATAGCAAGACTGGAAGAAGGGAAATGCCTTAGGTGACTATTAGTCATTTTTATTTTTAAGTAAGTCATATATTCTCCATAATGAGCATGTACTAATTTTGTAGCACAAGAAAATACAGAGACTCTTATTTTGTAAGAAACCTACACTTTTGGAATTTCTCTATGATATAGTCACAATTTAATAAAATCTAAAATTAAAGCCCCAAATTTTATTCATTTGACATGACCTCTTTGCTCAACAAAATTTCTATGACATATTTTCAGTAAATAATCATCCTTTTCTACTGTATATTACCTATTATTTAGGTATAGGGAATACATCAATTCTATTTAACAAATTAGAATGAAAATTATAACCATACTACCCACAAAACTTACTCTGCTAATTTTATAGCTCCTTAGCCCTCCACAAGTCACAGAAATATTCACATCTAAGTTGGAACTTTTAAGTTGATTGATAGCCTGTAGCAATAAATTCCAGAATATTGGTAATGAAAATAATGGTTTATAAAGAAAAGCTTAACAGACTAATTATTGTCTCTCTTTTCAACTCTATTTCTTCAACAGCTATTTAGTCCCAGGTATACAGATTTTTGTTTTCCTTTGGTTTTTTAGTCATTTGAACTTTTTAGTAGTTTTAGGAATTAATTGGACAAATATTCAGCTATAAAGTGACATGAAATGTAATATGCAACTTTGTTATCATTGTCCCACTATGAACATGTTATTGGAATAACTTTTAAACTTAGTGAAGATAAAGTTTTAATCCCAATTTGGCAATGTGTTGGTCTTCATTATTTTATTTTATTATTTGTTATTATATTTTGTAATGGCCATGTAAAATGATGTACACTGAGTTTACCTGTGCATACAGGATTACAGAAAATTAATTTTAACATCCACTTAATCTAAAGTACTCTTATTGAACTATCATGACGTTATAAATATATTTAAACTACATTAGTAATACATAAATGGTGGGCCAGTTTATTTCTGCAAACCAGACTCTGGAAATTGGACACCATTGAAAACACCCTTCAAAGTACTAAAAAAAAAAGTGTTAAGTACAATATATATAACCACTTTTAATTATAATTAATTTGGATAAATGCATATTTAACTGCCTTCAAATAGACATACTTTTGACATGTGAAATTGAGATTCCACAGGTTGTCCTTTGATGGTAAATTCAATATAAATAACAATGAAGAAACCACATATGGTAGGCCTGGGATTCAGAAACTGGCTTTAAGATTCTCAAATAAAGACCTTTGAAGACACGCAGATGTATTAATTTTTAATTTGTTTCTTTTTGGTCTCTTAATTACTGAAAAAGGTTTATTGGTTAATTTTAGGAAGGCAAGTGTTTGAAAAGTTTTGCCAAATACTGTCTTCTTTAAATGACTGTATGGTAATGAAAAGTTAAGATGAGAGCCAAATTAGATTGAATAATTGTTCAGTCATGTGGGACAGGCCAGTTGCATAGCCTGGTTGTTAGACTGATTGCTCAGATTACATTGCCTGGGGTCCTGCACTTGGTTGGCTGTCTTCTCAGATCTTAACAAGGTTCTGGGAATTTCTTTTTCTGACAAAGTTTGCTTTGTGTTTTTCACCTCCCCCCACTGCCTCCAGGATGCTTCATCTGCAGACATTAGAAAAGCGTATCGTAAGCTTTCATTAACTTTGCATCCAGACAAGAATAAAGATGAAAATGCAGAAACGCAGTTTAGACAAGTAAGTGAAATATGCTGTTACGTTTTGTCACAAATTTATAAAGGTTTATGGTAGAAATAGCAACTTATACGTAGAATAATTCCATTTGAAAATGAGGATGTTCTTTAGAAATATGTATATATGTTTATTCAGTTTTTTACAAAATATGTTTTTGCCAACATTTTTTATTTTAGAATCTCTGAATTCTTGGAGTGTCATAATTGTCACAGTTTTCTAGTCTAAATTGCAGCTTTTGCTTTTAAAAAGCATGTGTTAAGGTAATTATTACTTTTGCATCTTTCACAAAGATTTATTTTGGTTTCAAGCATTGTTAACCTCTTAAAGTTCTACTGAAAGCATAAAATGTTACTTATAATTAAGGTCTTATCTGTTCATTTTATTTATAAGCACACAGTGTTTTCTGCATGTGCGTTATAGCGTGTTCACCTTCTTAAGTAATTTCTTATAGTTGAGAGTATTTTTATTTTAAAGTAATGCTTGTATTTTAGTTGGTGGCCATTTATGAAGTTTTAAAGGATGACGAACGAAGGCAGAGGTGAGTGTTTATTTCTGCTTTTGAATTAAGATGGTTGATGTCTCAATTTATACAGGGGAAAATTGTCTCAAGCAGTTTATTATAAGTTAGTATTTTAATTTTGTTCCTTCCAAGAAATACAATGTTTTTAACATGTATAATGCTTAGAGTTAGTTAATATGGAAAATGTTCACTAGGTTGATTCAAAACTTATATCCTTCAGGGTCATGAGTCAGAATGTTAGCAAGTCGTAGCTTCATTAGATAAGATGTTTAACAAGTGTCTAGGCCTTGGGAAATACAAATACCACTTGACTTCAAACAAATGTCCATTCATTTTTAATATGTCAGTAATAGCTCCTATCTGTGCCTAGTGATCCTTTTTTTTCTTTACCATTCCTTAAAAGTTTTGGAATTTGCTGTTAGTGATATTCAAGTTATCACTATCTCTGATGTTTCCTCACTCACAAAATAATAAACCAAATTTTTGAGTGATAGAACAGACTTGTATGAGTAGGTAGAAGATAGGAGTGAAAGAAAAGCATTTCCTTCTTTCTCCTATTTTGCCTCCTTCCCTTCCCTGCTCTGCTCCAGTGATTCTGCATTTAGGGTTAGTCAGTGGAGGCAGCACCTCACTGGGAGACTTCTCCATGCCCCGTTCGGAAGAGTAGTAATATATTTATACAGTACTTTATAGTGCCAGTGACTTAAGAGGCTGCAGAGAGGCTCCTTTTCTCTACTTCAGAATGTATGGAATGTAGGCACTATTGCGATGGGCTTCAACAATTCTGTGGTCAGACCCACAGTAAGAAATACATTTTGCATTATACCTCAGGACAGACATACACACACAAGTGAAACAAAAATTTCGTGGAACACTTCTTTTTTGTGTGTGAAACGGACTGATACTTTCTATTCTGGGCTAGGCTAGACGAGTCTTTTTTTAAAAAAACAATGCTGGTTGTCGTCCACTAAATTGATTTCATGAGCCACTGGTGGGTCACAATCCACAGTTTGAAAATGTTGCTCTACAGTAAAAGAGTACCCTTAAAAAAAAAAAGTAAGTATTTGAGATTTTAGGCTAAGGCCATTAATATGGATGCTAATATATCTTAAAGACAACACGCCAAAGTTATGCTATGTGAAATTCTGAATTTTCTTCATCTACATCCTAAAATGTTAACTACCACTCTGGGTTCACATCCTAACTCTTTCATTGGAATACCTCAGTTTGTCATATTGCAAAGCAAGGACTCAAGATATTCTCTGGAAATGTTCTTGCTTCGGAGCAAGGGCTGGCATTAGCCCAGACACCGCAGCCAACATTCCTCTGGTCTGAGATAGTGCATAGTGTTGAAAGGGTCCTAGAAGTATGTTGAAAGAAGTGTTGGTCATTCGCATATTTTCTAGTTGGTTTCTCTCACGGAGCCCCAAGTTTTGTTTCACACATCAAGAATGTGTCTATAAAGATAGCTTTATTTAGCCCCCTTACATCTTTGGCATCAGATTTGGGCTTTTTGTTTGCCGTTTTCTTAAAAGTTAGTGAACTTTGTAACAATTTCTTTCAATTATTAAATTATTTATCTCTTTTCAGAACAAATTACTTATTTATAAATTAACATAGACTCATCTAACATTTTCTTTTTAGGATTAGTTTCCTTTGCATTTCTTTTAGAGTGTCAGTAGAAAAAATGGATCGGACAGTTACACAAACAGCTGTAGTATTTATACCCCTTTAGGGACAAGTAACTCTTTGGTAACTGGTTTTCCCTGAGGCAAAAGTCTTAACTAATCAAGCTAAGAATCACTCCTCTAAAGCTTGTGCCTGAGGCCAGGTGACCTATGAGTATTTAAACATATAGAAGAAATCACCTCTACAGACAATTACCTAATGTTTATAATTCCTTTAGGGAGAAGAAAAAAGAACATAGTTTTATCTTCTAAAAGAGAATTGTCTTATACTGGTAAAAAAAAAACCTCTTCAGTATCACGATTATTTATTGTAAGCATTCATTAAATAAATGCTCTTAAATGTGTAACCTCCCAGGAATTTGCAATTTGGAAAATTGTCATGGACAGGTTTTCCTATTTCCCGTGTAAATAATTCTGTTTTCACTGAAATCAGGTACATTCTTTAAATTTTGGTAGAAAAGGGGGTAGCAATGAAATAAGTAAAATAGCAAACTAGGTACCCTTTTTACTTTTTTAAGGAAAAGGCAAATTTTATTTTATTTTAAAAACAGCCTTATTTAGGTATAATTCGAGTACCAAAAAGTCACCTATTTTAAGTTTACAATTCAGTGATTTTTAGTGAACCTACAATTGTGCAAGCCACCATAATCCAGTTTTAGAACATTTCCATCACCTGAAAACACTTCTTCAAGCTCGTTTGCAAGCAGTCCCCACTCTGAACTCCAGCCCTAGGCAATCACTGATCTTTTTGTATCTATAAATTTATCTTTTCTGGACATTGCATATTAATAAAATCAAGTAATATGTAGTCTTTTGCATCTGGCTTCTTTATGTTATAATGTTTTTGAGATACATCCATATTTTAGCATATACTAGTAGTTCATTCTTTTTTACTGCTGAATAGTATTCCATCTACCACTTTTTTTTATCCATTCATCAACTAGTAGACATATAGTTTGTTTCCACTTTTTGGCTATGATGTACATGCTGCCATGAATATTAACATAAAAGCCTTTATGTGAACAGATGTTTTTCATTTCTCTTTGGTAGATTCCTAAGAGTGCAATTGTGATAAAGCTTTTAAGCCTTTTTCCTCCCCAAAGGCACATAGACTATAGTGTGAAAATAACATGTTTTCCTGGTTAGTGTAAGGAAGGCTAACATAGCAGCCCTTTTTAAACTCCTAGGTAACTTGCTTATTTGGTGGAAAGAACAGCTCAGCTATGTTTTGACATAAATTTCTATACAAGTGCTCTGAGTATTAGCTGAAATAAAGAAAGTACTAGACACCAAATCGTTCACTACACATATACACTAGAAAGTGCTGTGGAAATATTAGCATATTTACTTTTGTTTAAAATCTCATAAACTTTCTACCTATTTTTTTTTATTAGCTAACACAGTTGTGTGACTTTAATTTTTTTGTCTGTTTTATGGTACTATATTTGTAAAAGTTGAATGTATTTATTTTTTTTAGTTTACTAACTAAAATCATGTTTTATTTACAAATCCAATGATGAAAACTATAGTTATCTCAGACTTAATCTGCTAAACTTTTACAAATCCATTTCTTAGTTATTGTAAATTTGATTACAAGTGTGTTTGAATAAAAATAAACATTAACCTGAGAATAAGAAATCTTAGTACTTTCCTCAGTTAGGAGATATAAGACATATTATATACAATATATAAAGTCCTGTGTACCACAGTTGTAGGTATATATATTATTTTTTATAAAGGAGAGTAAGATGAATTAAATTATACTGTTTCCTGTTTATGATCTTTGTATAATCAATTTTTACTCAAAGATTGAAAATGTGACCTAAGTAGATGTTGCTTTATTGTTTTAAGCTAAAAATTCAAAGTTAGTATGATAGAAAATTCATACTTTAGGCAGATGCTAGAATTATTTACGTATTTGTTTTCATGATATACACATTTTCTATTTTAGTTTCATAGTTACTGTTTTATATTTCAAAATAAGCAATTTTACATTTTTATTATTTTTTTCTGCTGGTAATTTAAACATTTTTAGATTTACTTGCTTTCCACTGTTTATATTAGGCTAAATATGTATGATGAATTGCAGGATATAGAATGGTACTAGCTAGTGATTATGTAACCATTATTTTATGTCTATCATGTACATTTTTAGAAAATAAAACAAAGTAAACATATTAGGCCATATGTTGGATGTGTGTAATTGATCAATTAATGTTTAAATTTCCAAGATAATGCCTTTATAGTTCCATATGATTTTTTTGCATTAGTGATATTTTCGTCAGAGATTTACTTTTGTGTTTTCTTAGAACACATTGATACATGTATACATTCTTAATCTGGTTTTAACAAAATGTTAAAGGCAGTTTGTATGAGCTCAGTTACAGAACATTTTAACAGTGTTATGTGTTAAATATAGAAAAGCATACCATAGTGGTATTTTAAATGTTATGTGTTGTCAACACAACATTTTTTCTTAAGTAACTTATGAATATAGTGTCTAGATATTTTTAAAAATATCTTTGTTTTCAGTGTTTTAGAAAAGCAGTGATTTATCTTTCAACAGCATATATTCTAAAAAGTGGACTATAATAGAAGCTATCTTTCCTTAAAATGGCCATCATGTGAGCCATAATGTTCATTGATAGTAAAATCAATAGAGCATTGATTCTAAGCTTAATCCTTGGAGACTGTTGTTTAGAGTGGCAGACATAGCCTAGTAAATATCTAGTTCTGTACATGTTCAGTGCATGAAGTTTTGCGATCTTGAATTGGGCTGTACACGGAGTACAATTTATGTGGGGTAGAAAATAGTAGCTGTTAAGAGAGACGTATTTCAACAATGATCGTGATAAAGTATTTGATATAAGATTCATAACTATGAGTCCTGCTGTGTTTTCTTTCAATACAGATCAAATTTAATACTTAGTAATGCTCTTAGGGTAATGGTCGCTACTTTCTTAGGTGTTCTTTATTAATAATAACAATTTTTACATGAAGTTACTTCATGGGAGAGGTTAGCTGAAAATAAGGATATTTATGGTCACCTTTTGTTCCCTCACCAAATCTGAAGTGGAATGTAGATTTACAATAAATTTAAGACTTAACATTCATTGGATTTCATTCAGTTGTTATAATCTTGCGTTATACCACGTGAAACCTTTTTGCCAATCCATTTCTAATTTAAAATGAATCCATTTTAACAAAGATAGATTTAAAAATAAATTTTTGAGGAAAGGAATGATAGCTTTTGATGAAGTCATATTATTATGTTTTGATATTCATGTTCAAGAATTGCTATAATATTGAATAAGGAGAATATTTAAACATTGAAATTTTTCTGGTCCAGCCACTACACAACCATATTTTAATCTGTAGACTGTTGTACACTACACAGTTTGTCTTTTAAGAGTTTAGCACTAATTAATGTTCTTTGCTCTGAACATTAGTTATTCTGATATGCCATTATTAATAATAATTTAAGTTGATCTAAAAGTCAGGCTTTCTAGATTTGCTAATAAAATATATTTTGAATTTATAACCACTTCTTTTCTACTGAAAAAAAGAAGTCGCCTGTAATAAATCCTCTGCTTTATTTTTTTAGCATATCTCCAAGGTATCAATTTAATAACTATAAAAGTAGCTACTGCAGTTGTTGCATTTAAATTGATTTACATGTCAAGACTGGCAGTTTAGCAGCTGCGCTATTATTCTTAGATCGGTCAATTTACTTGAGAAAAACCTACTACTGAGTTCTACTGACCTGCCTGACAATATGGGCCCTATTTCTATTCCTGTAATTAGGCCTGCGACTAACTCAGAATATTTTTAATTAAAATATTTTGGTCAATGTGTTCCACCAAATTAGGCCTTTCAGTGAAGATTTAATTCTGGAAATAGTGTGATTAGAATATTTAATGAGTTGTGTTCCACAAAGATTAACAGGTTGTGTTTTGAACATACCTAGTGTTTGTGACCATTTTGAGTTTTACAATCATAAATGCGACTTCTGATTTTTAACCTTAAAAATATTTGCCCCAATAACTGTCTGACAGGTAAATTTAAATTTAATTGAAGTTTTACTCTAAAGAAAGAGGATTTAAAATGCATTTCTAGGAAAGTTTTTATGTTCTTCCCTTCCAGCAAAGCCAAAAATGAGGAAATTGCCACTTAAATGTTTACAAATAAACAATTTTATTGAGAAATCTGGCACAAGCATAGGTTGTTTCCACCTGTCTTTCTAATTTGGCAATTTTTTTAATTCTCTAAAGTTATGTGAGCAATACAAAATTAAAAGATGCTCATTTTATAGGCTTTTACATCATTAAAAAGCTTTGATAAAATAATATATATGAATATTATATGAATATTTCAACCTTGAACCGTAGTACAAAGGTGGAAATAAAAGCATTGAGTAGAAAATTTACCCTGAATTTGATTCAGTAATGTGTAATTCATGGTAACAAATAGAGCTTTTATCTTGATTTTTTTTTTTCTTTTCTCCATTGAGATCCTTCCTTTTGTTGCTGACTTCTGTGGTGGGGTCTTTACAGCAAACTGTGATAGAGGTAGACTATATGGTTCCTTTAGTTTAGATGTCATTCCAGAAGTCGCATCACTGGGGTGCTGTAAAAACACAAGATCTGGATTTGCAGTAGATTACTGTGTACCCTTTTGAAAGTTGTCTGTGAGAGTACCTATAGACAGTGTTTGCAATTTATAGGCCGTTGTAATGCTGATAATTTACATAAATGTTATCTATTTGGAGAAATTGTTTTCTTTTTTCTCTTTTTAAATATGGGTACAAATAAAGTTTTTCATTTTTATTTCAAAATTTCCATGAAAAACTGTTACATTTGCTACTATAGGTATGATGATATTCTGATCAATGGACTTCCAGATTGGCGACAGCCTGTATTCTACTACAGGCGGGTGAGAAAAATGAGCAATGCTGAGCTGGCGTTACTTCTGTTCATTATCCTCACAGTGGGTCATTATGCTGTAGTGTGGTCAATCTACCTGGAAAAACAACTGGTAAGTGTTGGTAATAAATCAAGTGATCCTAGCCTCCTTATTTTCATATGGAATTTCAAACACTTATTTTCAACTGATGAAAATTTCAGTGTTTTTACAAATACTTTTCATTCTAATAGTTTTGTGCTCAGTAGTTAGTGTTATGTTTCTAAGTCACAAAGAACCCAGGATATAAGAAGAAAATGTCCTTCTTTTAAAAAATGTGGCATTGAGTTTGTTATAAAATTTTGGGAAAGCCCCAATATTTACCTGAAAATTAGAAGGTAGAGCCTAGGGCCATGTTTTCTTAATTATCACCTTCCAAATAGAAATATTTTTAATGTAAAAATAATTTTAGAAATTTTTGTGTCACAGGCTCTGCTGTAAGCAATGTTTACTTTAAAAGTTTTAATTAAGACTCAAAATGAGTATAATTTTATGATTTCAGAGATCAGTTGGTTAAAAAGTTATTACATTTTTCTTAGTCTAATAAATGACATAGTTTATTCTGTGGATGTTTATATGCTAAAGATAGTCAAACACCCAGCACCTGTTTACGCATTCTTTTTGAAGTGACGTTATTAAAGTTGGATGAACAAGAAAAAGTAAGTTGAATTCTTTCTCTTAGGAAACTTTGACTGCTATGGAGATAGACATGACTGACAGTGCTAAACTTCATGTGTGTAAGGACTAGATACCATGACAACAGTTATTGTTAAAGATTGATGATTTTACTTAATCATGTTGGATCCTACATACATTTGCATAAATGTTCCTTTATAATATTTACCCTTCACAGTAGAGTCTTGATAACATTTGAAGAGTACATAATAATGATAACCTGTAACTGTAATTCTTTTCCACATTAAGGATGAACTGCTTAGTAGAAAAAAGAGAGAAAAGAAAAAAAAGACAGGCGGCAAGAGTGTGGATTTATCAAAACTTGGTGCTTCAGAAAAAAATGAAAGGTGGGAGCATATAAAAATATTTTATAATTTGAAACTGTTAAAAATATTCCTTTAATGTGATCCAGTTTCATATGTATGTCCATGCTAATATTTACATCTGTAGTAGGGTTATAAAAGACTAATAATGTGCCATATCAGTTTGTGGAACAAATTCTGATCTTAAGCAGAAGTGCTACAAGTTTTTTCTCCTTGTGAAGTGTTAATATATACTTAAGTAATTAAACCCCCAGATTTTTGTAGTTTAAAATTTGTATACTGAACTTGAGAAACAAAGTATTACTAGATGAGTCTATCGTTTAGTGTTTAGCTCGTGTGTGACAATATGTACAGAGGCAGTGATATGCAGTACACTCAGAAAGATACCACCATTTCTTCTATTGATTCATAAAAAGAAATAAAGGGTTTAAATAGTTCACACAGCAGGCCAGAACTGAATCAATGTGAGATGGAAATCAGAGACTATTTTGCCTGTCTTCTGTTCTGATGACATCAGTGACTAATGCTTCAGTGAACTGCAAATGACGTTAATTTTTATGTATTGGTTTGTTTATGCTACAGTCTTCGTATGTGCTTGTCAGCACTGGGGAACACTCTGATGATGTTTAGTCTTTTATAGCTGAAGTAATCATAAGATTTGAGAATTCATTTTGCAGAACTGATGAAAGTCTAGGTTGGAAAGAGATCTTTTGTTTCTTTATCTTTATAACTTGATTAGGAGTCTCCTTTCCTAAAATCTTAGCTTTCTCTTACTTGCTATATATATTGCATTTGTAACTACTGTATTTCATGATAGAATAAGTTAGAATAAGTGATAACCATCATAAATATTTCATTGAAATTTTCTTTTTTTTTGTTGAAAGAGCCATTCAAAACAGAAATCATGATCTTTATAAAAATATTTTGTCTCCCAACTTTCTCTCTATATTCTGTTTCTTTGCTTTTGTTTTCCCTTTAGATTACTGATGAAACCACAATGGCATGATTTGCTTCCATGCAAGCTGGGGATTTGGTTTTGCCTTACACTAAAAGCATTGCCTCATCTAATCCAGGTAAAATGTACCTCTTTCATATAATATTAGATGCTTTCATTTTAATTATTCATGAAGTAATTTATTCTCATGTCTGCTCTCTGAATGCTGATGTACAGTGGATGCTTCATAATACTGATTGAATAGTGGTTTTGTGTAAACCTAATTTAGAATGGTTCTAAAACAAATTTAGGTGTCTACTCCTATAATTCTTACGTTGCTTTTAGGACACCTTAGAATTCCAAGACGTTAGAAAAATGGGGGGGAAATGCTATCTTTAGAACAGATAAAAAGGCAATACAAATTTAATCAGTTGTTATTATTTAAGGCATATTCAGTAAAAAAGAACAGGACTCAAATAGCTTGTCACATTATTTTAATAGCATTTAAACATATAGTATAAGAAAAAACTTTACATGAGCATCTAATTATGCAAAAATATAGTTTTCCATTTTATTTGCAACTTCAAGTGGAGTGAAAATATTCTCTTATATTGGAAATCAAAGTTTCTGTACTAGTCTTGATCAAACATAGGATGTGGGTACATGTTATATTTATATGGCAGTTTATTATGTTTTATAGTTAGCATACCAAAGCACATTTTGTTAAGTTATTGCTTTGCTAATTTTAATTATCGCATCTGGTTAGAAAATCCCAAAACATGAATATAGTATTTGAAAGTATGTATAATAATTTTGTTGTGCAAATTTTGAGGTTCTTTGAGGTTGTAATTTTTGGAAGGAAATTTTTTATTTCAGAAAATAAACGTTTAGATAAACATAGAGAGCCAGTTAATTTTTACCCAGATTTACCCACATTATTTTTCATATATCAGAGCTGTTTTTCTTAATTGTTTAAGGCAACAAATTACTCTAACTTCTGCATTTTATTCTCCTTTATTGTCTCATAACAAAAATTTTGTATTTGAAGGGAAATGAACTAAAGATCACTAATGTGTTGGTTCCTAGCCTTTGAGAAATTATTGATCAGTTTTCCATCAAAATAGTTTTTCTTAATATTTATTGCTTATTGTATCATATATTTTGATTATAGTTAGTAGAGAAAATTGAAATATTTTGGTAATTTAAAAGCTTTTGGTTTTAACTTGTTTATCATATTGTTTATTTTAATAAAAATCCACAATTCTTATATGGGGGGTGTGTGTGTGTGTGTGTATAATTTAATAAGGGAGGGGGAAAGTATATTTGTCATACTGTTTTTTTTATGAGAAGATAAGACAGAAAAATGTTTTAGGACATTTTATATATATATATTTTTTTTTTTGAGTGATTATTTTTTTGCAAGCTTTAGAATCTGTGCAATAGGAAAGCCAAAGTGTAGATGAATTTAAAAGTATAGTCAAATGATACTGTAAATAAACTATCACATCAAATGCAGATCTGAAACACTTCTTTGTAATTTTAATCTAAGTCATTTGAAACACAGTTTTTTTGGTAAAATAAACATATTTCATGGTCAGCATTCAAGGTAATTTGCGAAAATAGAACCAGTATATTAAGATGGCTTAGATTTGCAAGTTATTATTTTAAATTATCTGTCTGTGGTATCTAGGCCTAACAGATTGTTTTGCCTCATCATAAATTTGTAGAAAACTTACAAAAATAAGAAATTTTACAAAAATGCTTTAGTCTCTTTAGAAACTCTGCTTTCTTAAACTGTTAGATCAGTTTGACTTTTACAGTTTTTACTTGGTGATACCTGTTGCCTTTCAGTTTTGAGATACAAAGCAATTGGTTTTCAAAACCTTTATAAACCTAATTTTTAAATTTTGGTCTAATTATTTCTTCCTCATAAATGCATTCCAAGAAGTAAAGATGAGACAGTTTTTCTTTTTTTAAAGTAAATACTAAATATTTTATTTCTGTTTTGACTACATAAGGTCAGTTTTTGTCATGCTCACTAACATAGCTTATGTTTTCATAAGCATCAGCAAAGCAGTACTGACTAGTTGCTGTTAGGATTAGATTTTTGTCTGCTTTTTTGTTTAGTCTGCTGTGACCCTTGTATTAATTTATCATGCTTAAAATTGTGTAATGTGAATGAATACATGTGCCTTATCTACAGCTTTGAAGTTTTTGGTTTTTTGTTGTTGTTTTAATCCTCACCTGAGGATATTTTTTCCATTGCTTTTCAGAGAGAGTGAAAAAAAGAGGGGGAGGGGAGAGAGAGAGAGAGAGAGAGAGAAACATCGATGTGAGAGACACATCGATTGGTTGCCTCCCACACAAGCCCCAGATGGGCAGGGAATTGAGCCTCCAACCGAGGTACGTGCCCTTGACTAGAATCGAACCCGAGGCCCTTCAGTCTGTGGGCTGACGCTCTTACCACTGAGCCAAACTAGCTAGGGCCACAACTTTGAAGTTATGTGGCAATTCTATGAGATCATCTTTTCTTCCTTTTTTTAATATATCTTTATTGATTTCAGAGAGAGGAAAGGAGGGGGATAGAGAGATAGAAACATCAGTGATGAGAGAGTCACTGATCGGCTGCAGCCCCCAACCTGGGCATGTGCCCTGACCGGGAATCAAATCCCGATCGCCTGGATCCTGGGTTGACGCTCAACCGCTGAGCCACGCCCGGCTGGGCTATGAGATCTTCTTAAATAAGATATTTATGGAATTTAGAAGAAGCCCTCTTTACCTGAAGCAATCTGGATTGCTAATTGGCACATGGTCAAGAGAGCCCTAAGTATAAAAAAATGATACACACAACTTTAAACACTGTAAGCATGTACTTTACATTTATTCACCACTTAGGTGATATAGGGCATTACTTTATTTTAAAATAGGAATCCTCTTTCTTGCATAAACCATACCTATATAACCTTGGCTTCTTTAAGGACAAATTTTCACTTGATACCTTTAAAAAGTTAAATTAGACACTTGTGAGCAATGTAGTTGTATAATCCTTAGAGAGTTTTGAGTTCCTTCAGTCTTTCATAATTGATTTACATCTAGTTAACAGCATTATTAGCAACTCTTTTATTGAGCTTTCCAAAGCATCCACTTGGTTGTCATTAGAAACAACTCATTTTTTACTCACTTTTAATCTTTTTTTATGTAATTGAGTCCTATGATTACAATAACAAGTGTCACTGACACAAACTGGTTTAAGAGCTAATGCAACCAGCTCTTCTGGTTGTATGCATCCCTTGAATTTTATTTTATTAAAACTGAGCTGCAAATATTTTGTGTAAATATATGTATATAGCTATTGGATAAGAAGGAGGGTCCAAGCTAAAAGTGGACATTTGGAGACTGCCAGCAGATGGCCTTCACACTAGCAGAATCTCTCCCCAGATTTTGTCCTTATCATATCAACAGGTCTTCTTCACCTTTTTCCCTCCCATTCTTTCTCTAAATACCCATTCCTTTGTTATACTTAACATACACATGGTTATTGAGGAGGATTTGGAAAAGGGACAGTTCTGTTTCACCTTCTACTCCTAAATTCACTATTTTAGCATCTAAAATCTCTAAGAAACCTCATTGCCTTATTAGCTACTCCTAAATTCACTGTTTTAGCATCTAAAATCTCTAAGAAACCTCATTGCCTGATTAGCTTACCTAAATTATTTTCTGTGGCCCTCCCCCAAAAAATTTACAAATGAGAATAGTTTTATCAATATTTGATATGTCAAGCTTTTTCTGGTTATATATTTAGAAAAACAGTTTAGCTAGTTCAATAAAAAAGTATTAAACATCAGAACAAGATCCTATAAAGGGCTGTAGAGATGAATGTCTTCTAGGACCCTACAGTGAGGTAAAGGTTATAGCACATTGAATTAAAATTATACAATATGATATATAAGCTTCACATATGTAGTATAAACCGACTTGTGTAAATGTTCAGACAAATAAAGACTGTCTCTATTTATGATGGCAAAGGAAAACTAAAAAGAGGAGCTAGCTCTGGCTGGTGTGGCTCCGTTTGTTTGGCGCTGTCCTATGTACCGAAAGGTTGCCAGTTTGATCCCCAGTCAGAGCATGTGCTGCCCGAGTTTCAGGGCTCCATCCTCAGTAGGGAGCATGCAGGAGGCAGCCAATCAATGTTTTGCTCTCACATTGATGTTTCTCTCTCTCCCTCTTCCTCTCTCTCTGAAAATCAGTTTTTAAAAATTATATTTTAAAAGTAAAAAGAGGAGCTGCATGAATTGTGCTTGAAAGATGACCAAGACCCTTGACAATGAAGTGCCCACCTTGTGTACTAAGTAGTGTACAAAAATAATTTCATAGATATAGTAATTCCCATACAATAAACCCTTGATTTTGCAGACCTAAATTTAACAGACTTCTGATTTAACAGACAAAAATTTCCTGTCCAAATGTCATGTGAAAATTAGCACTCTGTTAATTTTATTTTATTTATTCATTAAAATATCCCTATTGATTTTAGAGAGAGGAGGGGAGAAGGGGAGAGAGAGAGAAACATCAGTAATGAGAGAGATTGAGCCTGCCCTGACCACGCACATGCCCTGACCAGGAATTGAACCTCGATCTCTTGGATCATAGGTGATGCTCAACCACTGAGCCACGCCAACTGGGCAACACTCTGTTCATTTTAAAATGCTTTTAACCAAGATTTGCTTATAATTAAATTAACAGGTTATTTTTGTGTTATTAATTCACTGTTATTTTTAACAAATTATAGCGAATAGGCCATATGTTGGAAAAAACACTGTAGTAATGTCACCACCATAAATAAATATTATATATCTACAATTATAGTCTACATACTTAAATCCAAGAGTCACTGCTTATAAACAATGTTCGGCGATTAACTAGCACATGATCACACCACATCAAGTGCAGTAATTGGTTCTTTTGTGGCATGGCTTGACTTTCTGCAGCAATTTTAACCAGGCTGGCCTGATGTTCTGACAGTGTGCACTAAGCCACACCCCAGCCATGTGCTTTGTTTACTCATGGTGACCGGTAAATGCATACATTTACTAGACCTATTCAGTATAAATTTAAAATTACAGTAATACATATAGAAAG